CCCCAAAACCCCAAAACCCCAAAACCCCGAAGGCATGAGATTTTCAAATATAAGAGAATTTAAATATAAACTGATATTTGAAACATGGAATTCGCCCCACAAATAATTAACATCACTCCTAAGAATCAAGCGATTAACTTTTTCTCGCAATAACTTCAGCAGAATAATCAAAGCACTGACTTAAATTACCTCTAGTACGAATCAGGTGCTAGAGCTTTCTACATTGTTTAAAATAACTAATACAAGGACATTTCTTAGAGCATTCTGAGTTCAGATAAAAATAAACTTTGGCTTTCCCAAGATAAACTCAGCTTCCCACACACTATCATCCTAGACTTAACCTAGGTAGACAACAGGCCAAGGTATTTCAGATTTTTTGGAATTCACTGCTGGCATGCTTATAATTCCAATCCTGCCAAAATTAAATTGCATATATCAATGGACTCTAGAAATTACGTTTATTGGCAGAGCTTTAACCCAGAGATGAAAGCTGGCAATCAAGTTTTTAAACTTAAAAACAAGATTGGAGGGAACGATCTCAACTACATCAAGATAGAAATCTTATGCTGCCACGGCAATTCTAATGACAAAGTATACTTAAACCAAATAATGATGTATGAGACTTAATAAGAGTCTTAAATGATGATGTTTCCTTGTAATTAAAGATCGAGTATCTCATCAGCTGCCTCATCTAATCAAGTCAGTGAAGAAAATGCCACCCAGATTACTGGTAACACCACAGCCTATCAATAATACAACTTTTAAAACCCAACTAACTAGACCAGAACAATAGAGACCTAATTTGATATGGATTAGCCTCTTTCTTATTAAAACTCTATTGACTCATCTTACTACCCAGCATTAGATTTACCTCATGGCAAGTTAAACAATTCATTTCAGAGAAGGCTTGAGTATATGCTAAATGAATTAGATTTGCTTTAATAATAATCATTCGAGCAATTCTAAGCTATAAGGTAGTTAAAATCTAATATAGCGAACGATCCCACTTAATCTGAGGAAAGTGCTGATCTTAAGCTGTTCCTAAACGGACTATAAAACGGCTACTAATAGATCTAGACTCAAATGAGCATCTTGAATGAAAAGATTAACAACTTCTAGCAAACAGTGCAATACACATAGTCTCAGTATCATAACTAATATTCTTAGTTTCAATCTCAGGCCAATTTAAACCACCAACATAATAAATCAGTAGAATAGTAACACCAATAGAATTTAAATGGGACTTCAACCTTCAGAAACAGAAATGAGCATTAAGACAAGAGCTCTTTAGTCCAATAGTGTGTTCAACAATGTTAACAGTACATAATGAATGAGTTTTAGAAGATGATGTCAGATCAAAGTACAGTGTAAAATCAGGTCTTAGATAACAAAGAAAATCAGCCCTTAAATCTTTAATAAAAGAGCTAAAGACTTGAGAAGTCTCTTGAGCAGAGAATAGATAGGTATATATCTTCATAGTAAAAAGATGCCAGCTAGAAACTTTAAGAAATCTAGGTTTAAGCCAATAATGCCACTATGCCCCATACATAGTAAGTCACATAGAGAACTAACAACTCGAAGTCAACTTAAAACGATGTGCAAAAGATAGCCCAAGAGCTGTAGGTCAAATTAGCAATCAAAGCTAAAAAACTCTAAGAACTTTAGGATAGGGAGGAGTCCAAGATAACAATTAGTTCAAGAGGGTCATGCTAAGATAGCGATGAGAGTTCTGTAATATCAAACTGCTCTAGTTTGCTAAAGATGAATAAAAATCTCAATGATCACAGACACTAAAATATTTAGATACCAAAGACTGTCTAAAATCTTTCAAAGATCTTCTAGTACAATAATCCCAACACTAATGATGTGAATTTGCTTGATGACGACGATGATGAACAAGAAGAAATGGAATCATAGATAGAGAAGTATTTTATTTCATCAAACAGAGATGAGGAAGAGGAAAATGATTATTGCTCTTGAAATAGCTATCATACGAGATGATGATATAATATGTTTAATTATGAAATTAAAGTATCTATAGTCATAATAAGTTCAATCAATTCTATTTATCTAATACTTTCTCACCTCTTACTTATAATACTCATTTCATTTATTCTTATCAGGTAGGTACTATTGCAAGTTGAGTTTGTGCTTATAGTTCTAGAAATAGTTCCTACACTGCTTATCTGTTTTTCTGGGTAACTCATCAGAAATAGCACACCAGTCTCTACCGTGTTTCTTGAGTAGGAGAATGAATTTCTCCTTTTCATCTTCTTGCCACTGGAGCAGGCCTTTTCTCTGTCTATTGTTACTGCTGTCATCTACATCATTTGAATCCTCGGAACTGCTATCCTACTTACTTGGATTTTAAGTCTAGTTCTCCATAAAGATTGAGGAAAACTTCTTGTCCATGTAGGTCTTGAATTCTTTATCGTTATTAAACTCCTTCTGAATATCTACTTAGATTCTTCCTCTTTAAGCTTGCAACGATTTACTAGCTGCATCTATTTAGGCCTTCTTTGCATCTTCTTCATTTTTCTTATTAGCTTCAATCATTTACTGCTTCTCTTTATTCAACTCTTCAATGAATTTCTCAGTGAATGATTGCTGCTTCACTGTGATGAATTATGGAAACACGGCTGACGAGGAGTAGTTATACGTCCGCATCTCATAGTTAAACTTACTTTGCGCGGACTGATTGTTTGCTGAGTTTGACCCTCCTACCGCAGAGTTAATTAATGAACTCTCGAAGTTGCTTGAACTTAGTCTCTAGCGCTTAGAGTTGTAGCCGTTATCTTCTACTAAGAGTTGCTTTTGCAAAATCCACTTAGAGATATCTCTACCACTAGTCTGATAGTAGAATTCATTGAAGTTTCGCTTTCTCAGCAGCAAGTCTTTTTAAGTCGCTGATTTCAAAGACTACTTTATCATCTTCTAAGGCAACAATTATTTCTGAGATTGATATAGGTTTATATGCATAGCTATCTTCCTTGAGAGGTTGCTCACTACTTATCCTTCTTTGAATTTATTCTAAGCAGCTTATGATTGATAATAATCCAAAAGCTTTTGTCCATTTTACTCGATCTTATCAAAGTAATCTATAGTTTTTAGAGTGGTCTTGTCCACCTTGGATTCATATAAAGGAGGAGCGAATGTGTTAAAGAAATAATGACTAAGCTTCTAATCCACTATCTTATCCTTCTCAACTTCCTTGCACTTCCTGCGAGCTTCACTTATTCCAGAATATATTTACAGTAACTCCTATACTGTGAAGTAAATCTAATTCTATCCGTAAAAGCAAGCAGCTACTCCTTAGTTAATATCGAATGTGTTGGATGGATTTCTTTTTTCTTACTAGTACTTGATGATTGGCTTCATTACTTCGTTGATTATATCTTAAATTGCTTATTTCTTGCCTGCCTGCGAGGGCAAACCTATCATGACCTAGCATGTGTTAAAATGCTTCTTCAGATTAAAAAGCTTTTTAAAAGCCTGGAAGAAAAACACCAGCTCTTTAGAAGTCTTATGTGGTAGAGATTTCCCGATTGCCCAGAAGTTCTTTGGATTTTCTAGAGTAGCTGAGATGAAGGTCTCAATATCTCTTAGACTCCAAATCATTCTCTTCTTATACTCTAATTCATATTCCAAGGGATTTTTAATGATTTAGGGATGGGGTTCATGCTTCACCTCATGCTGATAAAACCTAAATCTACTCATTGGTATGTCAGCTTTGTTGTCTCTGTATCTCTGAATATCATCCCAGTCATCATAGTCTTGATTGTTTTAGTTCTTTGAACCTGACCCTAGGAGTTACGGATGGATGCCCACGTACTAGTCTGCTAAAGTTAAATTAAGCTTGATAATTACTGAAGATGCCTGTCAGATGCTTTTGCTCAAGTCTGAACTCCTCAAAGATCTGTGGATATCTCATCTTCAGCTGCTTATCTGTGACTCGCTTTTGAACCTCCACATTCGTCAGCCATTATTGCTAACTATTTACATATATACTATTGCTTAACTGAATCATGTCAACTCGCTCTCTTTGCTGATTTTTCAGATAATTCTTAATCTAAATATGATTTATTATAGAATTTATTAATTACTTTTTACTGTTTTGCCATATAATCAAGTCTCTGAAGCAAAAGGAAATTGGGATTTGCTGGTTGGAAATCATAAACACAGAATTCAAAATCATTATCTACTTTCTTTTGTACTTTAGATGCATTTTAGATTGTTAGAGGAGCTATCTTGACTTTACTCATATAAGAATTATCTAAAGTAGGATTCAATTCATCACTCATTAGATAAGATTTAACTATTTTTTCAGGATCTTGAGGCTAGAATATATTGTACGAAGCTGGATAAATATTGTCCTCATTTGTGAAATTTGGTGCAAATTTCTTAGAAATCTTGTCCATTATCATTTACTTGATTTCTTCCTTTGACTGAGTGGTTTAGTAAGGACTACTGTTGTTATTGATGCTTAGAGAAGATGCAGATCGATTGGGATTGCTGATCATGTTTATATTCAAATTGCTTTTAACTTTAAGATTCGAGAAGCTTTCCCCAGCTCTTAAGGCATCAGTATCCATCAACTACTGTATCATCTAGCGCATCTCGTTCTAACTGGCTTTAATCTCCTCGCTAAGTGATTTATCTGTACTTTCTATCTGCTCTAGGATTTCCTTTTAAAGTTTGTGATAGCATACATCAGATGAGATCAAATGCTGATTTCTGATATCACTCACTATAAAATATTGATAAATATAGCCTCTATATAATAACTTAATGTACAGGTAAATATTGTTTGGTAGCATTTTTCCTATTCTTGGACGTGCTTTGAGGCTGAGTTTCTGCTCTAAAGGTGAGTGGCATTACTTCCAGCTCGAGACTTCTTCTAAGGAGTTTAAATCTATTTTTTAGTATTCATTTTTAAATTATTATTCTAATTAATAATCTTAAAATAATGGGGTTTTGGGGTTTTGGGGTTTTGGGG